CTTTCCTTAACTTTTACAATAATGGACTAATACAATATTTGCCCTTTTGTGATTGACTTATTTCACTCAGCATAATGTCCTCCAAGTTCATCCACCATATGGAGATGTTGAGTAAGCATTTGCAGCTCAGAGATGATGTCAGAACTGGAGATATACATTTGGAAGTCCTCAGTCTAGAGAAATTATTTAAAGCCATGGATTTGGATGAAATCACTTAGGGAGTGAGCATTGAGTAAAGAGTAGCATGGAGGACTTAACCTTGGAGCTTACCAACATTTAAAAGGAAGAATGGAGGAACCATCAAAAGATAACGAGAAAGAGCAGTGTGAGGTAGGAAATAAGCCAGAAGAATTTGGTGAACTGACACCAGAACTGACCATTGGATTTGGCAGGGTTGACATCATTAACAAATACATCATTTCATTATTTTGATGCTATGGATAACAAAAAATGCAAAATTCAAACAAGAGCTTGGGGAGATAAGGTTCATGATATAATAAGTGATTAGTGCTAAGAAAGTTGTGGTAAGAAAATATTCGTTGAATGAATGAATGAAAGTGTTAAAGTGCCAATTATTTAGGTAAGACAAAACAAAGAAGGAAGGATAAATCAGAAGTTTCAGTGTCGTACTGACTGCTGTTGTGAAGAATTTGATTTGTTCTTGAAATCCCAAGAGCTTGTTATATATAATGTCCTAAGTTGTAGATTGTTAATAGTCTGCAGTAATATCATCATAAGATACCAGTACAGTTGTATGTAGGTGGTATGCAATGATTTTATATTTGTAGGTACATATGATATTATAGGAGTGTACAACATAGCTACTCACGAACAAAGCTTTGCTGGATAGTCCTAGCTGGAGGCTACCTGGCTTGTATCCTGTTTCTTTAGTCCTTTTCTAGTATAGTTAGATAGCATATACTATTTCACATTAGTACAGAATGCCAGACTCAGCTGACATGTTTCTCTGATCTTACAGATTTTTCTGACACTTTTCCCAGGATGAAGTGATAAATACTTTGGTTTAAAAGTTGAACAGTCAAACTGCATATGATTGATCCCACTTCAATTAAGTGCCTGTTAAGTGCATGGTATGTGCACCTTCCCTTCAACTGTCATGGCTTCAGATTAAAAAGCTGAAATGTTTAATCAACAAAGGAGTGAAGCCAAAAAAACCCAAACCCATTGCTATTGAGTCCATCTGAGTCATAGTGACCCTGTAGGACAGAGTAGAGCTGCCCCATAGGGTTTCCAAGGCTGTAATCTTTATAGAAGTAGACTGCCTCATTTTTCTTCTGTGAAGCAGCTGGTGGGTTCAAACCTTTCAGTTAGCAGCTTGGTGCTTAACCACTGCACCTCTAGGATTAATGATTCATCCAGCAGAGTAAATGGTATTTGATATGAAGATGCTTGGGATATGTTTGTAGACTGAACTTTGTGCAAAACAATATTTGCCATGAATAATCACAATGTGGGTAATCACGAATTTAATTTCTCCACAAATATACAAAGTACAAAGCCGTTACAGAGTCCAGAATAGGGGTAAGATACTGAAATATAATACAGCTTGTTGTATGATCTGGAACTTCTACCAACTTTTTAACGGTGTCCCAGTGCTATAGTCATCTTTGCTTTCTTTCTCTTCATAGGCACCCTGGGTCTCAGCCATTTGGGTCAGCCCCATTGGCCCCTGTGGTCAGCCAGCCAACTGTACTTCAGTCCTACGGCCCTCCCCCAACAAATACACAGGTGACTGCTCAGCTGGCAGGAATGCAGATCAGTGGTGCTCCGGCCCCAGCCCCTCCTCCTACAGGGCTGGGCTATGGTGAGTAGTTGTGACCCTAGAAATGTTACTGTCCCCTTCTTTTCAGAATCATCAGGCTCTGGGGCATATACCTTAGTCCTTTTAATTTCCTATGCTTCTGAGACCCAGAAGATAGGACAGTCATAGCTGTCCCTCTTGTGTGGAAGGGGAAGTGATTTACTGAACAAGGAGGCAGAATGACTGGATTCTGACTCTATTTCTTCTACTTCTCAGGCCCACCAACAACATTGGCCTCAGCCTCAGGAAGTTTCCCTAACTCTGGTCTGTATGGCTCCTATCCTCAGGGCCACGCTCCCCCTCTTAGCCTGGCCCAGGGTCATCCTGGGACTCAGCCTCCCCAGCATTCTGCCCTGCCACAGGCTTCCAGCTTCACACCTCCAGCTTCAGGAGGTCCTCGGATGCCTTCGATGACTGGGGCACTCCTGCCTGGACAGGGTTTTAGGGGGCCCCCAGTGAACCAGCCCAACCACGTGTCCTCACCTCCTCCTCAAGCTCTGCCTCTTGGCACTCAGATGACGGGGCCCCCAGGACCACTACCACCTATGCACTCCTCCCAGCCAGGCTATCAGCTGCAACAAAATGGTGAGTCTTCCCTAAGGTTTGTTCAGCTAGGACCCAAAGGCTTCAGCTATTCACATGTTGTTTTGTTTTTTATTTTTATTTGTGTCTGTTTTTAGGATTGCTTGCTAAGTGGTAAATTAGATGGATAGCTTCAGGGTGGTGGTGGGGGTAGTTAGTAGTAGTAGTAGTAGGATATGGGTGTATTACTTTATGACTCTATGTTTCTAAGAGTCTACTCATTTCCCTAAGGCCTTAAGAGGAGATAGGGAAAGGATCTTGAATTCATCAGTCTTGTGCCCTTATTTCTTAGGTTCCTTTGGACCAGTCCGGGACCCTCAGCCCAACTATGGAAGTCCCTACCCTGGAGCACCCACCTTTGGCAGCCAGCCAGGTCCTCCCCAACCACTGCCTCCGAAGCGCCTGGATCCTGATGCTATCCCAAGCCCTGTAAGTTAGATATTTCTGTGGTTCTGGGAAAGGGAGTTGTGTCTGCCAGATGAACTGTTCAATCTCGAAAGGATGTTTTTCTAGCATTTTCTGATTATTTTCCCTGTTCATTGATCTTATAGGCATAGAACCTAAATATAATTTTTGACTGTTTGGACTGGAACTTGAGACCCAGGGAGTCTTGGTAACTGTTTTACTCCATAGCTGGGCAGGGAAGAAAGGGAGCCAAGAGTGATCATTGGTATCAGGAGCTCTTGGTTGAATGCTGCATTTTCTCACTACTGGACGTATGGTAACCTCTGGCCTTCTGTGAGGTAGTGGCTGTTCCAGGTGTTGTCCCCTTACACCCAGTAGGATAGCGTTCTTCCTAATGGATACCCCTTACACCCAGTAGGATAGCGTTCTTCCTAATGGATAGAGCAGGCGGGAATTCTCTGATGTTACAGGTTAAGAGAAAGAGCCTCACTGCCCCTACTTGGACAGTGTTTTAGGAGGAAGCCCTCATTACTGTTGGTTGCTATCCTCCTACTGTGTGGATAGGAAAGTGATCTACAGTTTGTAAGGGCAATGTGTGTGTAAAATTCCTGTGGGGAAGCTGCTTCTCCCAGAAAGAAGGTGAAACTCACCTTTAGAACCATCAGAATCCTTAGACATTCCTTATCATGCTCAGAGGCAGGGCTAGACTCCTAAGTGAGGGTTACTTTATAGTCCTGTCTGCAGCATTTGCTATGTCAGTTACCTTACCATGCTTAGCCATTGTCATATTCCATTCTGTCCTCTTTCCTCTTCTTTTGAGGAACTACCATGGGGAGGGAGCCTGTTGGCTAAGGAGAATCCAGGAGCATTCAGTATTTCCTGCCTTTCTTTCTACTTTCTTCAGTGATTAGAGTCTGGTTGGATGTGAAGGGAGGCTTCTTTCAATATAAGAATAGTCCATAGGGTAGGAAATTTGGCCTTTTGGCAGGAATATCCCTATACTTTCTCTTCAAGTCTTCTCTAATTCAGCCCCTCTCTGTATGATTCCTGCTTGCTTCCTATTTGCTCCCTTTCCTTATCTTTCTGCATCATAGTCTAAGCCATCAAAGCCTATGTGTTGAGCCATAAAGACTTGGAATTTTGGAGTTAAAGGGTCCTCATTTCAGCATATGAGCTGGGCTCCAGCTGTTCATGTCTAACCCATCAGGGTTGAGAGAAGTAACATCTGCTTCTTGTTCTTTTGTCTCCCTCCCTGTATTCCCCTGCTGCCTTTATATTAAAACACTAAAAGCAACTCAATGAGCTGCCTCCTCATCAGAAAACCAGGCACAGAATAGATCCTGATGCCATTCCTAGTCCAGTAAGTGCAGAGGGTGGGGGTGTATGTGCGTGTCATCCCTATGTTAGTGCCATCCATGCATGCCTGTGACCTCATATTCACCTCATCCACCATGTCTATCCTTCTCCATCCTTTTTCCTTGCCCTTCTGGACCCTTGCTTTTGCAAGCTAGAAGGATGTGCATGCTTCAAGTACCATATAATGAAAAGGTAGCAAGTTATTAATAATAGTTTAAGTGTGGGATAGTAGATCAGGCTTTAAGGGTGGGGGCCAAATGGCATGTTGACCTTTGGTTTTGGTCCTACTGGCTTTTACAGGAGCCTACATGAGACTTTGATGGAATAGGATAAAGTTGAGCTATAGATCCTTCCACTTCAGGTTTGATTTGTCCACAGCCTGTTGTGGTGAGACATTTGTGTAGGTGGCTACTAATGTACATGTTCATGGTATCTCAAACTGGCATTTCTTAGAGGAAAGAGACTGCTAGTTTGGGAAAAGTGTGGGCCATTTTCTTATGTGGAAGGTCTGTTCCACTCTATTTCTAAGCTTCAACCCTTTCTGTTGAGATACGGAGTATTATTTTCCCTTCGCTTTCTTTGGTTTTACTAAACCCATCTTGAAGTAAGTAACTGGCCAAAAGTCATCAGCTTGCACAAGGGTTTGATTACCAGCTTTACAAATGCTTCCCCCTCCCCCCCCACCCCCATTACTGGCTGTGTCAAGATGTGGAAGATTGAGGATTGGGCTACAGGATTTGGTACTTATCCTCTCTCCACATACATATACATGGATGCTTACCTGAAAGTAAGGCAGCATCTGCTTCTCACCTTACCTGATCATTTCTGATTGTTTTATCCTCTCCTCACCCTGTCCCTGTACTTCCATTGATTGTAGAGTCATTCCAGGTAGATTCATTTTTACATGGTTACTGTTGTCTCTTTTCCTGCTCTGACTCAGAATGTGTCTTTGGGAGAAGAGGGAAAAGGCTTGATGGTGGGGGCAGAAGGTGGGGGGGATGGAATCTGGTCATGTTTGAAAGTTTGTGATTAGAGCTGTAGCTTTCTTAGAGTGGGGGCGGACAGTAAGAGGGTGATCACCATTGATTGGGGGTATGGGGCAGTTCATAAAGCAGTCCATTTTCAGTGTTGCCTGCCCAGAATTTTGCTCCTGGCTCTAGAGTGGAAGATTGGCATCTTACCATTTTGTGTGGTCTCCAGGAAAGCAAGCCTGGTGCATTAGATGTTCCTTGGCAAATTACTAGTTTCTATGCTGCAGCTCCGGTCTTTCTTTCTCCTGGGACCTGACACTTCCTTTTGTTCTGTCCTCACTCAATTCACTTCTTCCCTACAGATTCAGGTCATTGAGGATGACAGGAACAACCGGGGTTCAGAGCCATTTGTTACTGGAGTACGGGGCCAGGTGCCACCCTTAGTAACCACCAACTTTCTGGTGAAAGACCAAGGTAAGAAGAACATCACTTTCTACTGTGGAGTCTTTTTCTGTAAGATTATCAGCTTTTGTTGGGGCTTTGGGTAGTGTTTAATGAGAGACTAGTCCTCCATTGGTCTCTGGGGAAAAAAGCCACCATCAACTTTAGCATTTGTGGAAGTGATGGATAGATTAGCAGTGTTGGGATGGTGTCTGTAGGGGGAATATGTCATCTTACTCAGGTGTTCTACTTCTTCAGGGAATGCAAGTCCCCGATACATCCGATGCACATCCTATAATATCCCTTGTACATCTGACATGGCTAAGCAGGCTCAGGTGCCCCTGGCAGCTGTTATTAAGCCTCTGGCAAGGCTGCCCCCGGAGGAGGTGAGTTGGGGAAAGGGCTGGAGTATAATAGAAGGGAGGAAGGGAGGGAGAATAAAGCTGCTTCCTAGATGGGATTCTGTTTGTCACAATGGAAGAAGTCTTAGTTGGGCAGGAGGGGTAAGTATCTTCTATTCTAGGACCATGTCTGGAGGGGACAGTAGAGATGAAAGCAAAAGTCAGTTGGCATGGAGGAGCTTCTCATAGCATGACTGATTATTTTCAGATAATCAGACACATACTCTATTTTTTCTTACATGTAGTCGTGTCATCCCAGGTAGGTTAGGGAAGGAAAAAAAGTAGATGAGAATCCAGTGGTCTTTCCCTCCTCTGTCACCTCATTACCAGAAATCATCCTGAAAAGAGAGAAGGCTAGGCAGCAGTTCATGCCTAGATTAGCCAGTTTGGGATGGAATTCTCTATAACTGAATGCTCAAGGCTCACCCTGCATCCTGCTTCTCTCTGTTTTGCTTTGTATTTTGTCTCTAACTGGGTCCAGTGGGAGTGGTTACACACGAGACTACTGATCTCTTATCTGTAGGGTAACATCTACCTGGAGCATCAGTAGGTACCACAGAAACCCAGGGATGGGGGAGGACAAGTCTCATAGATAAATGGTTAGGGAAGGAAGCAGGAGGCAAGATCCCTAGGGCAAGAGTGGAGGAGACTGGATACAGGGCTGGAAAAAAGAATCTTAGGTAATCTCTGGCTTTCTCTTCATATGTTCATGGCATTGGTGTGGTCAGTTTCACAGTCCTTCTTCTCTTTGAAGGAGAAATACAATTCTGGGGATGGGGATTAGGGGGAGAAAGTTACCAAATTTGGAATCTTAGGACATTTTCCTCTGACTAGTACCCTCATCACTTGTCCTCATTCCCCCTTCACCACTGTACAACCTCCCCAAGGCAAACTATTTGAGCCATGTCCTTTTTTCCTCCAGATTGTTCCTCCTCATATGTTGTTGCCACACATATGAACCCATTGTAGTTTTCCTTCCATGTCTGAGTCCCTCCCTCTTTGGTCCTTAGGCTTCACCTTACGTCGTGGACCATGGAGAATCTGGCCCTTTGCGCTGTAATCGCTGCAAAGCATACATGTGCCCCTTCATGCAGTTCATCGAGGGAGGAAGGCGCTTCCAGTGCTGCTTTTGCAGCTGTATTAATGATGGTACATTCAGGGAGGCTAGGATTGGTGGAGGTCTGGATTACATCTTCACTGTTCTCTTTTTAGTTAGATAGGTGAGGGTCCATTTTTCAGGAGTTGGGTAAGTCGGGCACACGTGGGGAATTAGAGACAGTGGAGTGAGCTCAGCCAGGGCCTGACTGACTTCACTAAAATTGAGAGTGGACCTTTGAGTAACACTGCCGTACTCCCCACAGTTCCCCCCCAGTATTTTCAACATCTGGATCATACTGGCAAACGTGTGGATGCTTATGACCGTCCTGAGCTATCTCTGGGCTCTTACGAATTCCTGGCCACTGTAGATTACTGCAAGGTGAGGAAAGGTGGCATGGGGGGAGCAGTGGGTAGAGGTTAATGAGACAGCTAAGAATTGCTGTTACCATTTTCCTCCCCTCACCTCTTCCTTGTCTCCTTTGATATTGACTTCTCTCTAGTCAACTGATATCCTTACCAATACCCCTCTCTCCTCAACATTTCCTTCCTCTACAGAATAATAAGTTCCCCAGCCCTCCTGCCTTCATCTTCATGATTGACGTCTCCTACAATGCCATCAGGAGTGGTCTTGTTAGGCTCCTCTGTGAGGAACTCAAATCACTGTTAGACTTTCTACCTAGGTGAGAGTTAAAGGAACTGAGGTGCTTCCTTTGGATAATGATGGGGTATTTGGGTTGACTAAGAAAATGGGGCCTGATATCATGAAATTGGCAGTGGTGGAAAAGGTGGCAAAACTGGGTAACAATGTCACCTTTACAGGGAGGGTGGGGCAGAAGAGTCTGCAATCCGTGTTGGATTTGTCACCTATAATAAGGTGCTCCACTTCTACAATGTGAAGAGCTCATTGGCTCAGCCACAGATGATGGTTGTATCTGATGTGGCTGACATGTTTGTGCCACTGCTGGACGGCTTCCTGGTCAATGTCAACGAGTCCCGGACAGTCATCACCAGGTAAGAGCTGGACTGTCAGTGAAGGCAAAGAGGAGGTGGGGTGAGAACAACCATAGAAGGCTAGGGAGTTGAATAAAGGGTCAGTAGATGGACAAGAGCTAAAGGTCAGGAGTTTTCAGAGTCTGGGGGTCAAGTGACTCTTCAGGGAGTAGGAAAGCAAGGGATCTGGATCTGGAATCTGGACAGCAATTTTGATTGCCTCCCAACACTTACCTCTTCAGTTTATTGGATCAGATTCCAGAAATGTTTGCAGACACAAGGGAGACGGAGACAGTATTTGCCCCAGTTATCCAGGCTGGGATGGAGGCTCTGAAGGTAAGGCTGTAGTCCCTCCCTGGCAGTCTTCCCTCTCTTATTTTTCTCAGACCATCTTACCCACTGGGATACAACCCCAGTTTCTTTAATGATTAATGATTGTCCAGTTAGCCTATCTGACATAGTTGCCTCTGAATAAGTGAAGAGGGAGAGGATGAATGAATAATGGATGAATAAAAGGAGGAATAGGACTCCTGGTAGTGCACTTGTCTGCCAACTGAAAGGTTGGTGGTTTGAACCCACCCAGAATCTCCATAGGAGAAAGATGTGGCAGTCTGCTTCTGTAAAGATTGCAACCTTGGCAACCCTGTAGGGCAGTTCTACTCTGTCCTATAGGGTTGCTATGAGTCAGAATCAACTTGATGGTAATGGGTTGGGTTAAAGGAAAGAATGAATAAGTAGTCTTCTCTTCTTTCCTAGGCTGCTGAATGTGCAGGGAAGCTGTTTCTGTTCCACACATCCCTGCCCATTGCAGAGGCACCAGGAAAACTGAAGAACAGGGATGACAGGAAGTTGATCAACACAGACAAGGAGAAGGTGTGGGATTGGGAAGTGCGGGGAGGATAAATCTATTACAGAGGAAGGTCGTGACTCTTCACAGTGCCATACTCCTGCCTTTTTTGAGGGGAATTGAGACCAGATACCCTGCCATTTCATGTTATATCTGTGACTACCAACCTTCTTCATTACTTCTACACGTTTCTATCTTCTCTCATGCTCAGAGCCCTTGGTAAACCATTGCAAAGCCTTGGAGGCAGGGTTGAAGTCTTAGAAGTATTTGAATGTCCCGTATTACAGTCATGGGTTCTGTGTCTGTGGATTCAACCAACCATGGATCAGAAATATTCAGGAGTGGAAAAAAAAAAATAAAATCAATTAAGTGGTCAAAGCAATCCCTCAAAGGATAAAACAGAGCATAAAGTGCTATTTACATTGCATTTCCATTGTATTAAATATTATAAGATGATTTAAAGTATGGGGAGGATATGCTTAAGTTATATTCAAATATTATGCCTATTTATATATGAAGGGGCTTGAGCATCTGTGGATTTTGGTACCCACAGGCATCCTGGAACCAATCCTCCTCGGATACCGAGGGATGACTGTATACAATTCTCAATAGGGTGGAGCTGAGATATTTGAACATTTTCTTCTGTTCTTCCCAGACTCTGTTCCAGCCCCAAACAGGTACCTATCAGACCCTGGCCAAAGAGTGTGTGGCCCAAGGCTGCTGTGTAGACCTCTTCCTCTTCCCTAACCAGTATGTGGATGTGGCCACGCTCTCTGTGGTGCCCCAGCTCACTGGTGGCTCTGTCTACAAATATGCTTGCTTTCAGGTATGGTGTGGGCCTTGGGTGGCAGGTGGCAGTAGAGCTGAGACTGCCTGCCTACATGTAGCATGACCCTTTATCTGTTGACTCATGGATAGGAATTATCTTCAAGGAGAAGACTACATAGTATAAAGAAAAAAGCCAAGAGAGTTTAGTGGTTAAAAGCATAGAACCTAGAATCAGTCCTGGGTTAACATTCTGGCAATGTGGTGATAAGTATGAATTACCAGTGATATGACCTAGGAGAAATTACTTAATTACTGTTTTTATTTCTTTATCTGTAAAATGAAGTTTTAATACTTTTTAATTAGGATTTGTCATCAGAATTAAGTAAGATATATGTAAAGCATTTAGTCTGGTACCTGGCTCATGACCAGTGCTTAAAAGCTATCATCATCATCATCTTCACTGTTACTGTTATTACTACTAAGCAGGCTTATAGAATGGAGGGGTGCAGAGAGATTGTCTGTATTGTGATGTGACTCTGGGCCTGGGGCGGCTGCAGGTGGAGAATGACCAGGAACGGTTCCTGAGTGACCTATGTCGGGATGTGCAGAAGGTTGTTGGCTTTGATGCTGTGATGCGGGTCCGGACAAGCACTGGTCAGTCCTGGTTGGAGAATAGTGGCTTGGGGGCTAAATCTGGGAGAGAGGCATATGGCACTTGTCATACCTTTAGTCTTGACCCTGTCTGTTTGGCCTCAGGTATCCGTGCTGTAGATTTCTTTGGGGCTTTCTACATGAGCAACACAACAGATGTGGAGCTGGCTGGGCTAGATGTGGACAAGACAGTGACTGTGGAGTTCAAGCATGATGATCGGCTTAACGAGGAGAGCGGAGCCCTCCTGCAGGTGGCAGGCGGGAGGCAGGGCCCAGGGAGGAAGTGTGGAGTGTTATATAGGCTGCAGGGAAGAGGGTGAGGGGTAGGCAGAGAGGGCTGGAAGAAGAGGCTGGGGAAGGGATGGTTCATGTCTTTCCTCTAGTTTGACAGTACAGCAAAGGGGCAGTTTTTCAGTCTCCCCTTTCTCCTTTTCCTAGTGCGCCCTGCTTTACACTAGCTGTGCAGGGCAGCGTCGGCTCCGCATCCACAACCTAGCCCTGAACTGTTGCACGCAGCTGGCTGATTTGTATCGAAACTGTGAGACAGACACGCTTATCAACTACATGGCCAAGTTTGGTGAGGGAGAGGCAGGACAGGGTGGAATTGGGGTTGAGGAGAAAATCCAATGTTCTTGGGAAGGTATGGTGGTGGGAAGGCACATGTCATGGAGTTGCCGACTTTTGCTGTCTCCCTTTTCCATCCAGCGTACCGGGGGGTCCTAAACAGCCCTGTGAAGACTGTTCGTGATAATCTCATCACCCAGTGTGCCCAGATCCTGGCCTGTTACCGAAAGAACTGTGCCAGCCCTTCCTCTGCAGGACAGGTAGGGCAAGCCTGTTGAAGAAGGGCTGCTGGGACAAATTTTGCACTTAAGAGGGATTTCTCATAATCATTGGCTTTATTTTGATAAATTACTCAGTTGATCCTTCCTGAGTGCATGAAGCTACTCCCAGTTTACTTGAACTGTGTGTTGAAGAGTGATGTCCTGCAGCCTGGAGCTGAAGTCACCACTGATGACCGTGCCTATGTCCGACAGCTGGTTACCTCCATGGATGTGGCTGAGACCAATGTCTTCTTCTACCCTCGACTTCTACCGTTGGTGCGATTGAGCATTGTAGTGTGAGACACTGCGTGAGAAAGGGGCACTTTAGAAGGAGGAGGGGAAGGACATACATCATCTGATACAATTTTCATATTAAGACAGCTACTGAGATCTCAGGAATAGTCGCTAGGGACTGTATTTTCTGAAAAATGATTTATTTGGGGGGAGGGGGGAAAGACTTGTTTCATGGTCCTTAGTAACCCTTTGCCCCATTCCTTTTGTCTAGACAAAGTCTCCCATTGACAGTACTACTGAACCACCAGCAGTTCGAGCATCTGAAGAGCGTCTAAGCAACGGGGATATATATTTGTTGGAGAATGGGCTCAACCTTTTCCTCTGGGTGGGAGCAAGTGTCCAGCAGGGTGTTGTCCAGAGTCTCTTCAGTGTCTCCTCCTTCAGTCATATCACCAGTGGCTTGGTGAGGGCAGGGAGTCAAGGAGAATATGGGTTTGGAAGGGCATGTTGTGATGTGAGTGGAAGCCAGTAAAACTATCCTGGTAGTCTCCCTTAAATATCAGGGAACATGAATTAGAGAACACTTGGGAAGCAGGAAGGATGCTGTATTCCTGAATATAGTACATAAATCTGTGCTGCTTCATCTTGACTCAGAGTACCTTACCAGGGATTTATGAATTTTGTGTTTCAGAGTGTTCTGCCAGTTCTGGATAATCCCCTGTCCAAGAAGGTGCGAGTCCTCATTGATAGCTTAAGGGCTCAGAGATCGCGGTACATGAAGGTAACATTGGCTCTCAACCCTGGATTTCTTAGTTTGTCAAGTCCTCAGGCAGAAGGGGGTTGGAGAGTGAGTGAGTGAGTGGTTAATGAGGTTTCAGGACATGTTAATTCCCTTTGGCCCTACCTCATGACTCTTGCATTCTGGTCATAGCTTATCGTGGTGAAACAGGAGGACAAGCTGGAGATGCTATTCAAGCACTTCCTGGTGGAAGACAAAAGCCTGAGTGGGGGAGCATCCTATGTGGACTTTCTCTGTCATATGCACAAGGAGATTCGGCAGCTACTGAGCTAGATCAAGTGGGTAAATGGCATAGGGTCCTAGGTCAGCTTCCAGAAAGTACCCCAAATGACAGAGAAATTGGGACAGTTCCATATCTTATAAATCATGTAAGGTGAAACCACCTCAGTCTCTTTGGGGGGAGGGGGAGGTATAAGGAGACACCTTCTTTCTGGGCTCAAGTATCCTATCACTCTGTCATGTCCTGCTGCTGGAAGGTGCCCACACCCCCTCATTCTACCCTCCTTTTCCTGCTAATCCTGTCGTAATGAATGTAGTTTCTCAGTTAACTATATGATTTGGTGTTGGGGGTTTGGAGGTGCCCAGACTTGGCAATATAATGTGTCCCTTTGGACCAGCCTCCAAAAGAAAAGGGGCAGGTAGGAAGGAGGGGGGATCCCAGGGTTACTCACAGGTGGGGGCATGTTCAGCTCCGTGTCATCAGCAACTTCCTATATTAGGGATAAAATATACAGGTGCACAAGAGCTGGGATATAGACTAGAGATGGCAGAGAAAAGTGGTCTGTCTGTGCTGGGCCTGGAGGTCAGCAGGCAAGTCAGAATTACTGAGGGTGGTTAATTAGCTTTCTCTGTGCTTCCACTGCTCTTTCTTCTGCAATGACTGGTGATCACTCCGTGGTGGTGTCAGAGATGAATGAGCCTGGGAACTGAGTTGGAAAGTATAAGAGGTATCAGCCTCCTTTCCAGTTGGAGAGGTCCCAACACTGGATAGTTCTGTAGGGAGCCTGGTCATCAGTTTGCAATACCTCACAGCCAGCCCACATCCCACTCTGAGCTCCCACTGGAAACATTCACTGCCTCTCCAAGCAGGGGGTTGCTGAGGGGAGAGGCAGAGGCAGAGGCAGCTGGAGCTCTGTTCCATCCTGCCTGGACACCACTCGGATTTGGTATTGACGGAGTGGCTGACGGTTTATCTTCCAACCCCAACTGGCTGGGGCAGGACAAGGGCTAAGCTGGAGGTGGCTGGACTTGTCTGCTCCCAGCCTGGGATCCCCCTGCTCTGGACCTCTCATTTCTCTTCATTGGTTTATTTTTCAATGCATCTTTAATTTGTAAAGAAAATAAATTAAGATGTAACCAGTAGTCTCATTTTTACTCTGGCGCCGGCTCACTTTCTCTTCAGCCCCTCCTGCCAGGCCTTGCAGCTCCTGGGAAGTGGCCGACTGAGCAGAATCACGCATGCGTCATGTATCCCGTGGCGTATGATTTCGTCCCTTGGCGTCTCCGTTGGGGCGGGGACGGTGCTCAGGGGCGTCGGCTGCTACAGTGGTGGATATGGCTGCAGGCTGTATGGGGACTGTGCTTGTTGCCCTAGGGGTGCTTGGTGTGTGTACGGCTAGCGGCTCTGGCCCCCTGGCGGAGGTGGAAGCCGGCAGGGAAGCAGATTGGGTGGAACCGTGGGACGGCGCAGTTTTCCGGTCGCCTTCAGCGCTGGGCGCTGTGGGGGTGGCGCATAGACCGGGGAGCAGGCGGTCAGAGAGGGAAGAGGTGGACTTGCCAGTGCTTTTGTGGTGGAGCCCTGGGCTGTTTCCCCACTTCCCGGGAGACTGGGAGCGTATCGAGTGTGCGCGTGGCGCGTGCGTGGCGTCCCGGGACCGACGGGTCCGTGGGGACTCGCGGACGCGCGCACTACTCTTCTACGGCACTGACTTCCGAGCATCTGACGCGCCACTGCCGCGTTTGGCGCACCAGAGCTGGGCGCTTCTGCACGAGGAGTCGCCTCTCAACAACTTCTTGCTGAGCCACGCGCCGGGCATCCGCCTCTTCAATCTTACCGCTACCTTCAGCCGCCACTCTGACTACCCGCTGCCGCTGCAGTGGCTACCTGGGGTCGCCTATTTGCGCCGCGCTGCCCCTCCGCTTCAGGAGCGCGCGGAGTGGCGCCGCCGTGGCTACGCGCCGCTGCTGTATCTGCAGTCTCATTGCGACGTGCCTGCGGACCGGGACCGCTATGTGCGCGAGCTCATGCGCTACATCCCGGTGGGTGAGGGCGGGGAGGGGCTGGGGAAAGGCGGGGGCGGGGAGGGCAGGCGCCAAGAGCTCTGGTGTCCAAGCTGACAGTCAGTACCCTTTACCCCACCCAGGTGGACTCCTACGGGAAATGCTTGCAGAACCAGGAGCTGCCCACCCCACGGTTACAGGACACAGCTACAGCGACCACCGAGGATCCAGAGCTCTTGGCCTTCTTGTCACGTTATAAATTCCATTTGGCCCTCGAAAATGCCATCTGTGACGACTACATGACAGAAAAACTGTGGCGTCCCATGCATTTGGGTGCTGTGCCCGTGTACCGCGGCTCTCCTTCTGTAAGGGACTGGATGCCGAACAATCACTCCATCATCCTTATTAATGACTTTGAGTCACCTCAGAAGCTGGCAGAGTTTATTGACTTTCTGGACAAGAATGATGATGAATATATGAAATACTTGGCATACAAGCAACCTGGGGGCATCACCAACCAGTTTCTTCTGGATAGTCTGAGGCATCGGGAGTGGGGCGTGAATGATCCTTTATTGCCTAACTACCTCAATGGCTTTGAGTGTTTCGTCTGTGACCACGAGCTGGCTAGGCTGGATGCCGAGCAAGCCCACGCAGCCTCCCCTGGGGACACCCCTATCCCTGAGCCTCACATTGCCCAGCCCTCACACATGGATTGCCCAGTGCCCACACCTGGCATTGGCAATGTGGAAGAGATTCCTGAGAATGACAGGTAAGGGTTGTTGGGGTCCCCTACAACCATCAGATCAAATTATCTATTAAAGCATTTACTGTGGGCAGTGAACTAGCACCGGCACTGGCAGAGTGATGTATAACGAAATTATGACATGGGCTCGCTCTGCCATTAAGGCACCAAAAGCCCAGTTGGGGAGATAAACTGTAAAAGTAAAAGACTTAAAGTAAAATTCAAAGTAACAACATAGAAAATCAGCTTATGCCCTCAGTGGTTCAGTAAAGGCTTTTAACCAGACAGAGGGCCTGTGCAGGGAAGTGATGTGGGAGGGACAAAGTTGAACAGGTAAACTAGGAGTTTTGACTGTTTTGAAAATCTGCTATTTATTGAGCACCTTGTGTATAGTAGGGGTGAGGGTGAGGACAGGGACAGCAGAGATGAGTATTTGAGGGAGTTTTGTCTGGAATAGTCTTGAGTTTATACCTGTTAACCTGGCACAATTATTAATAGCATCTCCTTTCACTCTTCAAAGTAGCTGGTTTGTATAATAAGTGACATGTTTTTCCTAGAAAGAATCAAAGGAGCACTTTCAAAAAGTTAATTCAACAATGGTGGGCATACGGACTGGAATAGAAATTGAGGCGGCTACTCTAGGAAGTAGTGGGATTGGGAAACAAGGCCAACCTGGGAGGTGAGATGGGGACATGCTGAAGCCACTTGCAGCAAACCATGCCTGCTGGAGGAGAGGCTATTAAGCTTAAGAAAGACAGGCTGCTAGAAGAGCTTTTGAAATTGAGTTGGACAGTCAGTGGCAGCAGAGAGTTGCTTATGTAAGCACTGCTGGCATAGTTTGTTCCTGGTAGCAGAGTGTTCCATCAAGTTTTTTCTGTCTAGTTTATGTTAACCATAGTATTACGATTTACTATAGGAAAAATGTGAAACAAGGGCCTTTTTTTTTTTCCTTATTTTTATTGTGATTTGGGTGAAAGTTTACAGAGCAAATTCATTTTCCATACAGCAGGTCATACACATTTTGTCTCATGACATTGACATCAATTCCCCACAATGTAAAGCTCTCTTCCTACTTCCTCCCTGTAGTTACCTCTTCCCTGTGTCCTTCCCTCTCGTGTACTCCCACCCCCCGAACTATCTCCCTGTACAAACACTGCCCTTCTGTTCTCCCATGACTGATCACTCCAAGGATATTTTCCTGATGTAAATGTTCACCCCATATGCCTGTCCATTGCTTGGCTGGAAGCCACAGGAGTGAGTTCAATTCTAGACTTGAAGGGTAACTAGGGGCCATAGTCTTAGGGGTCTCACCAGGCTCTATCAGACCAGCAAACCTGGTCTTTTTTTTTTTTTTTTTAATGATTCTGTTTTGTTCCAAATTATTCTTCCACTCTATCCAGGATCTCCTGCACTGATCCCCCTCTGAATGGTTGACAGTGGTAGCCAGGCATCATCTAGTTCTTCTGGTCATATGGATCGATAGACTGAGGATTGCATGGGCTTCCAGCTGAAACAAAGACTTTGTAAAAAAAAATATTTAGGTATTAGGCTTTTCAAGACACTGGATACCACTGCACCTTCGTTTTAATCATTGGAGTAAAGGTGCAACTTAAAAGGTAGCCATCAAAAAAAAAAAACATGCTCCCTTGTTTTCATATTGTGATACTGCTTCCATAGTTTAGCCTCTCACACACAAGCCTCTGAGAGAACCAGAAGCAGGCAAGTCAGGAATTTTAACTCATTGGGTAAGGTGTTTGATATTGTATTAAGATTATTTGGCCCAACTCAGAAAAAAGTAGGACTTATAGCTGTGCCGAGGCTCCATAATCCAGTCCTCGTTTTGGTGTTTCAGCTGGAAGGAGATGTGGCTGCAAGATTATTGGCAAGGTCTGGACCAGGGGGAAGCTCTCACTGCCATGATCCACAACAATGAAACTCAGCAGAGGAAATTTTGGGATTACCTACATGAGATCTTCATGAAAAGGAACCACAACCTCTAACTACCCCTCTAAGAACCTTTAACTTGGGAGAGCTAAGATGAGAAGTCCTTATTCTACCAAAGGATGTGAGGGACATCCACTGCACAAACCCTTAATGAATAGTCTTATCATGGATTCAAGATACTCCAGTTATATTCACTGGTATGATCTCAGCCTAGGACAGCAGGATTTTCCTCAAGAGAGTTGGAGGCATTCAGTTCTCAGTTCAATGGGAAATAGAAGTCTGAATACCCATTTGATTCAAGGTGCTGCTCCAACAGAATTTTTAAAAGATTATTCATTTCTGTAGCCATTTAATCTTCTCAATTGTAATTAGAACACCACCTTAGTACTTGACCAGTGAGATAAGATGAGCCAAGTGTAGGGTCTTAAAACTTCTATTCCATTCCCCAAACCCCTCATTATTATGTCTCCTAATAATCTTTTCTTCTCATTTCTTGCTTTATAAACTGTTATCTCTTTGGAGATTGTATTCTAGTCTTCTAGGATTATATTTTTATATAATTTGCCTTTCACATCAATTTTTTTTTTTTTTTATTTTAGATTACTTTTTCCTTCCTGGTTTTAGGTCCTTTCCCACAACTTCTAGAGTTGCAGTAACCTTGCCATCATTCCTACATTCGTTCTTCCCTCCATTAAATTGGTTGTGGGTTTGGCAGTTTTTACTCCTGGTTTTCTTGTCTTCTTTTTTAATTTTTGTGATTTGGGTGAAAGTTTACAGAGCAAATTCATTTTCCATACAACAGTTCATACAAATTTTGTTTCATGACATTGACTGCAATTCCTCAGTGTAACAGCTCTCTTTCCACTTCCTCCCTGCAGTCCCTGTGTCCATCTTTGCTATGCATTCCTGCTCCCTGAGCTGTCTTCCTGTGCAAAAACTGCCCTTCTCTTCTCCTGTGATTGATCCTTCTAAGGAGTGTATCTACCAGATGTAAATGTTCACCCTATTGTTTGGCTGGAAACCACAGGAGTGTGTTCAATTCCAGACTTGAAGGGTAACTAGAGGCCATAATCTCAGGGGTCTCAGCAGGCTCTGTCATACCAGTAAACCTGGACATTTTTATGATTTTTTGTTCCTCATTGTTCTCCCACTCTAACAAAGATCTCCTGCACTGATCCCTTTCTGAGTGGTTAACAGTTACTCCTGATTTTCTATCTATGAAATTTGGAATTCTTTCTTACCTTGAGAAAGATTCAGTGGCTCATATATGCCATGTCAATTTAATGACTTACCTGTTCTATTTAGGTCAGAGATGGAGAATAAAGGTACACATGATAGTAGAAAGTCTTATATATATGCTTATATTAAAAAAGATTTTAAAGTGTTAAAATAAGCCAATACAAATCCAAATGCATATTTTTATAGGTCTCTGTCCTTTCTGGTCTGCCTAATGAACTCTTTCCCTCTATATAATTATTTGCTATAAAGGCCTATTTCTCCCCAAAGAATCATGGAAACTACGATAGAAAAATTGCATTGTAACTCTAGTAATCATCTCATATAGGAGTCCTGATGGTGCAGTGGCTAAATGTGTGGCTACTAACCAGATGATAGGCGGTTCCACCCCACCAGTCACTTCACAGGAGAAAGATGTGGCAGTTTGCTTCTGTAAAGATTACAGTCTTAGAAATCCTGTAGGGCAGTTCTACTCTGCACTGTAGGGCTGCTATATTGCTTTGTGGTCAGTGCTTTCCAGACTTTCTCCTTTATTCCTGTCACCACATGGGGATTCACAAAAGAACAGGGTAAACCAGGTGTTCACTTCCCACAAGGGAAAGTAGAACCAGGAATAGCCATATGTTTGTATCAACTAAAGGCTTCACTTTCCCTATGGAGAAAGCAGGCAGTATGAATTTTCTCTGGGCCTCAGTCTGCAACATATACAGCAGTAGGCTTACTGCAAGGTTGGGGTTATTGGTGTTAGAAGTGTCTGATTGGAATCGGTTTTATTTATGCTGTTAAAGGCAAGGCTGATGCCTTTATTATAACAAATGTTGCTATTTTATATTATCTCAGGTTTCATTTTGTACAATAAACTTTTTCAACAGTGTCTTGTTTCGTTATTTTTCTGGTGTGGCATGATAAGAGTTGGATACTTGAAAAAAATATTTCAAACATTTGTTCATTCAACAAGTATAGCTGATTCTCATTATTCATGGTAGTTATATGAAGATGTCATGAACAGTGAATTAGCAAATATTAAACCATTGCTCCAGGAGCTCTTGTGGTGCTGTGGTTAAGGCACTGGGCTACTAACCAAAAGGTCAGTGGTTTGAAACCCATCAGCTGCTCTGGGGGAGAAAGACAAGGCAGTCTACTTCTGTAAGGATTTACAGCCTTAGAAACCATATAGGGGTCACTAAGAGTCTGAATTGACTTGATGGCAGTGGGGAACTGTTGCTCCAAGAGGAAATACAGGGGTAAGTTCCTACAAGCCACTAGTCACAACGTTTTCATCAACTGATAATACATAACCTTGTTTTATGTGGGTTTCTGTTTAAAGACATCTTGTTTAATATTTATTTCTCAATATATGCAGCATTCACTTATGAGAAAATAATAGTTCAATTACAGCATTATGTGTAGTACTCTATTGTACTGTGATTGTACTTTAACTCTTCCACTCAGTCATACGACACACACACACACACACACAATACACATATATAGTACTTATAGTACAGTCAATTAATATGGCCCTTCTAGCCACAGTCTTTGTGATTCCCACCAGATGACTGGGTGGGACTATGTAAATGTGAGGTGCTTGTGGCCCACCAAGGGGATTAGATAGATTGCTAATAATGTAAATAAGGTGCATGACACCCTTATGGGTGTGGGACCATGGAAATAAGGTTTATGAAACCCTAATGTGGGGATTGGTCAGTTTTGCCACCTTGCTAGGCTTAAAATGAGCCATCTCAGGTGAAAGGCAGGGCAGGGGGTAGGGAAGATCTTACTACCATCAAGAAAGAAGAGCTAGGAGTAGAAGGCGTTCTTCAGAACCAATATCCCTGTGCTGAACGTCCCTGACCCGGGAGACAGATGTGACACCAGTGATGGCAAGAAGCAGTGACAGCGAAACAGTGGCAGCAGGGGCAGCAGAACCAAGAGACCTGCACATGGGCTTCCAGCTTGCTACAGGAGTGGGGTGCTATCCATGGGCCTAAGCTAGGCTAGGCAAGGCTCACTGAACCACTGGGTGAGAAAGCTGAAAGCCTTCCAGCCAAGGCTTACTAGTGGGAGTGGGGTGCCTCTAGGCATTTATCAGCATACTTGCCTGAGCATGGCTGAGGCCAAAGGTGGGGGGTGGGGTGCAGAGCCATAAAGACCTGCCTTCAGACGTGGCTGAGGGGAGGCTGTCCTGATCGAAGTACTGTATTCTGAGCGTTCCTGATCCTGAATTCTAACTTGTTACTTCCCTAATAAACCCCATAATCATGAGTATTTTTTATGAATTCTGTGTGATCATTGCAATGGATTATCAAACCCAACTGAGAAGTAGTGCCATGGGAGGGATGGTTGGTAAGAATAGTAGAGGCATGTCTGACCTCTGCCTCATAAGAATCAGTCTGGGCTGCTGATTTTTATCCTTTTCCCTCCTTGTGAAGTTAGAGGAGGTCAGATGTGGTCCCCATGCCATTTTTGCACTTCCATACAGTAAACACATTCAGTACTATGAACACACTATACACTGGATGGTACAATACTCAAACTCACTGCTGTTGAATCGATTCAACTCATAGTGACCCCTCCTTGGGTTTCCGAGGCGGTATCTCTACGGAAGTAGAGCTCAATCTTCCTTATGAGGAATGGCTGGTGAGTTTGAACCGCCAGCCTTCTGGTTAGCAGTCAAATGACTTAGGCACTATGCCACCAGAGCTCCCATAATGAAAATAAAATCCTGAGAAAACAAAGATTAAGCATTTAAAGTTTTATAAAAACATGAACTAAGATCTTACTTTTGATGAAGCTGCAGGATGTGTGGTTAAACATCTTGTTTTTGGCTTGCCTACACAAAAACCAAGGGAGAGGTTGACAGAACTTACTCTGCAGAAGAGAAGACATCAACAAGGGGGCCATGTAGATCCCTGACAGTTCTATCTTAGAAGTAAGGCTCTTGAGACTTGTTAATGGCATTGGCAATTTTCCCTCCTGAAATGGCTTGAAAAACCACATTAGCCTTGTCTGCTTGGCTCTTTGCCTCAAATCTTTCTCAGTGTCTGGGCATAAGGTGCAAATGCAGTGGAGGTTAGGTGCTTAAATTTGAGCCTGCATTCAAGCATAGGGTGATATTCTTCTATGTTGTTGTTGTTAGTTGTTGTTATGTGCTGTCGAGTCGGCCCCGACTCATAGTGACCCCTCCTTGGGTTTCTGAGGTAGTATCACTACGGAAGTAGGATTGCCCAACCTTCCTTCC